TTGCTATAGGGCGCGTGCGCTCGCCAGACAGAGAGAGAGAGAGAGACAGAAAGCAGGAAATCACCCCCCAGGGGGGATGGCCACGCCGCAATCCCTTCTCCTCCACTCTCCTCTCGGGATCTTGGGCACGCACGCACATGCGCCCGGCGTGAGTTTAAGCCACCGGGTCCGGGACTCGAACCACGGTCGACTACGTGGGAGTCCAGCGACATAGCCATTATGCTAATTGCTGGTCCCAGAACACGTGTGCTTCTGAACAGGAGTGTGTGTGTGTGTCTTCACTGACTCTCCAGTTGGGCTTGAAGGACCGTTATCCTCCTCTAGGCCTGTCTTCTGGCCCAGCAGGCTTCCCTTCAGAATCCCTGTGCTGGGAGCCCAGCACTGCTGGCTTGCCCGCTGAATCCAGCCAGGTGCTCCTCTGCAACCTTAGTGCGAAGTGTGTATCGGGGAGGCAGATTCGCTGCCCTGGCTGGAAGCGCACGAGACCCAGCGACGCATCGGCCCTGAGCCGAGCAGCCCCTCGCCCTGCCCTACTCACTTAGTCTTGATTTCCAAGTCATCATGGCTCGAGTGGCACATTTCGCTGAATCGGGACACAAAGAAGTCATAGCTCCGGTGGTAGGACGGGGTGTCCTCCTCGATGTTGGCAAACTTCACAAACTGTCGGGGAGGAAAGAGATGCACATGAGGGGTGCCCTAGTGTGCTCCTCACTTCTGCGGGACCCAGGCCCCTATCATGGAAAAGCCACAGGAAGCTCGCAATCTGGACTCAGCTCTGGTTGGCCTCCCAGAGCATGCCTGGGACGTGCACTGCAAATCCTGCCACCTGTCCCATCTACACAGAACTGGAAACAACGGCCCTACTTAAGCCTTGCCTGCTGGGGGAAGCTGAGGACAGGATGAAGGGAAAATGAAGGAGACTCCCCTGGCGCCTGCCCCCTTCCCACCCAGAACTGCACAAACACACTTAGCTCACAGGCTCAGGAAAACACTGACACCAAGCAAACTAGTGTCAAAGCACGCAACACCACCCTAGAGTGAATTCTGGGACATGGAACAAATCTGAAACACAACTAAAAATGGAATCGCATTGTATTGTTAAATACATATATTTTTTAAAGAATTATTTTATTTAACTTTATTTATTTATTTTTTTAATTTGACCAGAGAGGGACAGAGAGGGAGAATGTGAGAAAGCAAGCCACCAGGTCCGGGACTCAAACTGTGGTCAGCCATGTGGGAGTCTGGTGCCCTTAACCACTGTGCCACTTGCCAGCCCCTGTATTGTTAAATATTGGAGTGAAGGTTTTTTTTTCTTTTTTTTTTTTTTTTTGCTATAGGGTGAATGTACTCACCAGAGAGACAGAAAGAGAGATAGTGAGAGAAAAAGTGAGAAATCACTCCTAGCGGGGATGGCCATGCCACAATCCCTTCTCCACTATCCTGGTATTTTGGGCACACGTGCACACACGTACCCAGTGTCATCTTCAAGCAGCTGGGTCCGGGACTCAAACCACGGTTGGCCACGTGGGAGTCCAGAACTTAACCACTATGCCACCTGCTGGCCCCTGGCTTGGCAAGTCTTCGTCTGCATTCTCGATCATCAGATTTCTCCACCATCACTGTGCCACACAGCTGCTATCTAAATTAGGACTTAATTCCAACCGAGTCTCTCAGGGAAGCCAGAATCCCGGCCTAAAAGGAGTCCGAGTACTAACAACTTAATCTAGTTCTTAGAGGCTATTTAATTGTTCTAGGTCTAGTAACCCGAAGAACCCTACAAAGATTAGATTTACAATGAAATACCTTTTCCATGATTGGGCCTTGTATTATTTAGGTTTTACAAACATTTGGTGGTTTAAAAAGAGATACGGTTCTTCCTAAAGTATCTAGTTAGTGTGCTCAAAATATGCAGCGTTAATTGTTAACCTATGTCCTATTGAACTATGTTAAAGTTAACAACATTTGCTGCATGAAAAGCAGCAGCTTCCCCAAACATCATTAACTATTGTAGAATTCCATTCTTGTAATAATAGACATGCAATTATTTTCTACTGACTGACAGAAGCTCAACATATAAAGCAGATACAGAGATCTTTTCTTCTCGGAGCCAGCAGGTGGTATGGTGGTTAAGGGGCTGGCCTCCAACATGGCTGATCATGGTTTGAGTCCCAGCCCTGGTGGCTTGAAAATCATGCTGAGCATGGGGGCGTGCATGCCCAAAGTCCAGAGAGGAGAGTGGAGGAGAAGGAGCGTGGAGGAGAATGGAGGAGAGAGAGCAGCGTGGCCATCGGGTACCATGTCAGATATCCTCTCCTCACTCTGCCTCGTGTCACCGCCCTAGCTGTGAACGGGCCTGTGTAACTTCTCCTCCTCTGTAAGGACCTATGTCCTTGGGTGGTCACCTGGGGTAAACGAGGGGAGGTATGCAGAGTGACAACGCCCCAGCAGTCACGGTGACAGTAGTTGTCTATGGCCAGCACATCAGCTCTGGGCTAGGCTCCAATGCCAAAGGGGCACAGCCAGGAGCCCAGATGGGCACTGTGCCCCATTGCAGGCAGCACTCTTCGGTGTGACCGCAGAGGGTGGGAGAGAAGCCATGCTGCCACACAGTGATTCCCAAGGCTGGGCATGGGGAGGGGGCAGAGGGCGAGGGGCACTGGAAGATGACAGTCAACACGCCTGAGGCACCACTCGGGTGCAATAGTGAGGGCCAGAGCCCAGCACGGAGGGCGGAGGGTGGCACTAGGCAGTGAGCTCACGCAGCCATCACTGCAAAAGCAGGAAGAAAGGGCAGAACGGTTGTTTCTCTTTAAAATGTACGTATCGGGGCATAGCGGTTAAGGCAGCTGGATCTCACGTGGCCGACTACATGGATCCATCTCAGACTTGGTGGCTTAAAAACCATGCCAGGTGGATTAATGGTGAGAGACATTTTCAGTGCCCCAAATCCTCAGAGGCAAATGGAGGAGAAGGGATTGCAGCATTGCACCCCCAGGGGGGGTGGTCTTTCTCACTTTCACTTTCTCTCCAGTGAGGGCACGTACCCTATAACAAACTAAAAACAACAAACAACCAATAAAATGTCTGCATCACCTCCTAGGAACATGAATACAGTAGGGAAGAGTCAGAAAAACTCCCTGAGCTAGAATAAGAGGACCTGTGTATTTTCAATGCACAATATTAGTTAAGGTTCTTATTCTAAGAGGCTTAAACTTGTCATGGCCCCTGCAGGATTCCGTACCGCCCAGTCACAGAAGCACCGTGTCTGCTGTAGCCGGGCACTGCACAAGTGCCTTCGGAGCATCACTGATGACACAGCGCCGTGTGCATCCCATGCCGAGACCCCGCCTGTGTTCCCCTACCCTAGAAAAGTGAATTTCAAATACAGTTGTAGTAAAGCTTGTTTGCCTTGGTTGAACTCATATCTCGTACCATTAGAAGCCTTCAAAATATTTAAAAGACATGAAGAGGTGTAAGTCCTCGAAAAGTTGTTCAAAGACCCAGGAATGGTCCAACTGGCCCAGCTAACACCTGTGCTCAAGGACAATATTCAGTGTTTCCACGGCATTAGCTGTTTACACGTCTGTGTCAGCGTTCTCTCTGCCGCTATCTTCCATGTCATCTGCTCTGTGTCAAACCCCCCTCTGCCTCTCTCTTATAGAATGTCCGCGAGCCCATTTAGCCCCACCAGGATAATCCAGGATAATCTCCCCATTGCGAGATCCTTAACTTAATCACAGCTGCAAAGCCCAAGGATTAGCAGGTAGACATCTTTTGGGGACCATTTTCAGCCTATCACAATATCCACTCTTGGATATGTTCAGCAAACGAGTGAGTTGGGCAGGACAGGGATTGCTCCATTGTAGAGACCAGGAGACCGAGGCTGAAGGGAACAAAGCAGTTACTGCAGACCAATCAGCTGTGACAGGTATGGCTGGGCCTCACACGTGGGGAGTCTGATATGGAATCTTGTGTTCTTTGCCCTTTAAATGTTAATGTGCACCAGAACTACCTGGAGAGCTTGTTAAAATGGGGTCAGTAGGTGGCATGGTGGTTAAGGTGCTGGACTCCCACATGGCTGACTGCGGTTCAAGTCCTGGACCTGGTGGCTTGAAAATCATGCCAGGCACATATGTGTATGTGTCCAAAATCCTGAGAGGAGAATGGAGGAGAGAGGATTGCAGCATGGCCATCCCCCTGCAGGGGTGATTTCTCAATTTCCCTTGCTATCTCTTTCTCTGTCTCTCTGGCAAGTGCACACAATCTGTAACAGAAACCTTAACAAAAAGTATACTTCAGAGCCACTCCAGGTCTATTGAATAGGCATCTAGGTGTAGGGCTTAGGTATTTGTTTTCTTTTTTGATTTCTCTCTCTCTCTTTTTAAAAGTTTCCAGAGTGCACAAGAGCTTGCCAGAGAGAAAGACAGAGAGACATAGAGAGAGGGAGATAGCACCTTTCATGGGCAATCCCTTCTCCTTTATTTCTCCACCCTATTGGGATTTGGGGCACATATGTACATGCACCTGGCATGTTCTATAAACCACTGGGGGCCAGGATTTGAACTGCAGGATCAGCCATGTGGTCAGCCTGGTATCTGCATTCTTACAAACCCCCCAACTACTCAGACGATTGACAGACCAAATGTCCTTTGCCCCAGGGAAGCTGGGCCAGTGGCCATGGAAAAGCCTAGGGCTGTTGCCATTGGTAACGGAGGTCAGTCAGGGCTGGACAGATAGGTGGCTACCACTTTTGCAAGGAGCAGTGGGCGGCTGGGGATTGGATAGGTGGCTTTACCATGGCTCAGTCTCTGAAAGACATTGTCCTCCACTCTGGGCCCAAGACTGTCCAGAAGGCTCCAGTTCTGAGGCTCAGGCTGTTACTATTTCATTCTTTCATTCTACCGAGACTCTTGCTCTGTTATGGGGTCTAGTGAGACTGCACTGAATGCCAGTCCGAGCCTCCCATACAGAGGGTGTGTGCTCCATTTAGAGCATTATGGCAAGCAACAGACTAACAAAATATGCATTTTAAAAATATTTATTTATTCATTCATTTTAATTTGACGAGAGAGAGGGAGAGAAAGCAAGCCGTCAGGTCTGGGACTCGAACCATGGGCAGTTATATGGGAGTGTCCAGTGCCTTAACCACCACGCCATCTGCTGGTCCCCACAATACATGTTTTTTAGTGCCAGGACCTCTGAGCAGCCTTAGGAACCCTCAGTTTGATGGTAAGATAGGAGGAGCTTCCCTTCCCTGAGTCTGGAAGTATGAAAGCACAGACACATCAGACAATGGGCAATCGGATGACTCTGTTGGCCTGTGGAGCCCCTGTGGAGGCGGCTCCCAGACAGCCCACCCCACGCTGCTCCTGAATCTTCCAGGGGTTGACGTGACGGAGCCAGACTGGAAATGATGGTGATTGGGATTCAGAGCGTCTAACAGGAGTGTTTCATGGGAGCCCCAGCCAAGGGACCCCTTCCCCATGGAAGTCCACCTGGGCAATGTGCAGAAGCCTGACTGAGACAGGCTGGGTATCGGGGGAGGAGGGCCTCATCTCTCACGTAAGGAAAGGCAGTGTGTGCTCTGGCTAGGAGAAGGGGTCTGGAGCCTGACTGCATATTTAAACCCCAACTCCTGCACTTACTAGTGGGGTGAT